AAAAATCTGTCTTTTTTTTTCCCCCACCAAGATCCTTCTAGATGACACACACACTGTGAGCAATACTCATGTCATAGAGTTTGATATCTTACACTTTTTTTCCCTTATTTCAAGACTTGAAGACCGTATACAAAGTTCAATTTTTATGTGCATTATGCAATGAACAAATGGTTCTTTTCAAAAACAAGCAAATCTCTCTGAAGCCAGGTGGAGGTTTGAGGATCCAAAAAGCTTCCCTCGATGTAAACAAGAAAGAAACGAGTCACTAAGATGTTTTCAATACTGTTTAGATGCCAAAAACACATGCACTTTAACATACATACTTAAAAAAAAAAAAATCCAGTGTTCCGGACTGTCTAAATAGGAAATGCTAACCTTTTTTATTTTATTTTATTTTTGAGACAGAGTTTCCTTATGTACCCCTGGCTTGCCTGGAATTCACCATGTAAATCAAGCTAGCCTTATAGACAACTGCTGTCCATCTCTCCCTCCCAAGTGCTGGGACTAAAATTGTCTGTCACTACGAATGGCCAGAAATACTTCTTAAAAGCAAATATTCTGGTACAACCAATATTTGTAAACCATATTTTATCTGTTTTCTACTCCTGCACTCTGTTCTAGGTCTGTTTGGGGCTAAGAGTCCAATGAAGTTAAGTAGCAGCTTCATTTTACAAATGAGAAGCTGAGTAGTCTCCAGTCCTTTAAGGAATTAACCCAAGGTTATATAACTTAAAAATGTAAACATCGGTAACCAAAAATCAGTGTAACTTTAAAAGTATTTGTTTCTGTGGAATTCGCTACCAGCCAGTGCTTATCTTGGCAGGACTCATGAGATACATACAGTACAAGAAGATAGACAAGGCACCTAACCAAGCAGGTAACAATGTGGTAAAAACAGACAGGTTTCATGAGGCAGAAGAAGGAAGTGAGTAACCCTGCAGTGGTGCCCAAGGAAGCATCAGGGAAAAAGGAAAGAGCCCCTGGGCAGAACAGAGGCAGGCAGGTGACCACAAGGGCACAACACTTTAAAATTCACTCTTTGGATTTACAATTTTAGTAAAGGATAATGAGACTCTATTCTTAGATGGCAAGCACCCTGGCTATTTCTGCCACTGGCACAGTGTACTGCAATCATTCATTTACATTTGTTCCTTCCTACTGGACTCTGAGTTCCTCCTTGGTTTGGTAAATAGTATCCATCTTCACTAGGCAATGGAATGAATGACACTGAACAATGTGCTTCCAGGTTGGTAAATACCTTTTCCAAAACAGGTCAGAAAAAGGATGGGTGAAGGGGGGATTTCCATGTGGGAGCAATGATTCATAGATTACATAAGTTGCTAAAAACTTGTCATTCTAGCTATGCTCTAACAAATATTAATAATACTAATAAGGAAATAAAACTGAGATGCATATAAAGAAGTGAGTTGCATGAAGAGGATCTGATGAGATTATATTTGAAAGGATTAGCAAAACTAGAATAGACATATATTATCTGTAATGTGAGAGTATTATAATTCTTGTAAATTAAAATTAGAATCCATAATGATCTAATGCATCCTAATGGCAAGAAAAAGCTACGTGCAGAATCAGGAAAAACACAGGAAAAGCACCTGTTGAGTCTCAGATGACTGACACTGAGCCACAGGAAAAGGCAGACACGGCAGGCATGTCAGTTGTCATTTCACCCCGTCCATCCTCTTTGGAAGGAACAGGCTCTCCCAACCAAAAGGACAGACCAAGTAACGCGAAGAAGGGAGGTGCAGAGGCAGTTAAAGGCTCTGCTGTGGTGAGGCCAGCTCAGCTCTCTAGGTGCAGCCAAGGGTATTGGTCCTCAGAGAGAAGACTGCAGAGCCCTGATGAGAGAAAAGCCATCCAGCAGCAAGAGGCCGACTGCAGGGAGGACACATCTGAATTCTTCAGTGACTGATACCAACATCTGCTCATTCAACTTCTGTCTCTAAACATTTCTCTGGAAAATAAGCAACATTTTGCCAAGAACTGTAGCTCCCTTCCAACTGAAGCATTCAAGAAGTTAAACTTATTTTGAAATTGAACAGCTAGTCACAGACGTACCTTTTACTGACTACTTTTCAAATGGAAAGATCTGCTTCCTACATCCTGAGACTCATTTCTTCCTCTTACATTGCCTGCTCAAATCACAGGCTTTGCAGCTAGCTCTTCTTTCATCCCACTGACACATCAGCCCCCAAACAGAGTAGAATACAGTGACCAACGAGAGCCAGAAAGACTTTCCAGAAGGAACCAATCCAACCAAAGCAATTTGTTTGATATAGGTTCCTTGGTTGTTGGTGTGCTGTTTTTAAGAGTTCCTTTTGAAGTAAAGATGGTTAAGAATAGCATGGCTAACAATAGTCTAGACAAATGTAGGTAGAATTTTAGATACTGTGTAGGTTTTTGTCATACCGTGTGGTTTAACTCCTCCATTTTTCTGTATACTTAACAAAATGTACAGAAGTTCAAAACATGGAAACAAAAAAACCAACTGTACAGGTGACAGAATCAAGAGTGAAAATCATACTTCTTAAAATTACTACATTCTTTACACAAATTAAAAGTCACTAATAACACATGGGTATCATCTTATAACTATGTAGTCATTTCATAAGACAAACTTCTAAGATGGGGACATATAAACAGAATACACTCTAACTAGAACAAATCCAGCCACACAAAATTTATCAATTACACATTCCTTTTTTTTTTTTTAATGCATCTATCAAGGGAGTACAGGAGAAAAAAAAAAAAACAAAACCTAAGTATCCAGTCATGTTGTATGGGAAAAGACATAATGACTTCATTAGTCAGACGTGGTATCTGATTTAAAAAACAAAAACAAAAACCTAGTACAGCAGGGCATGGTGGTGCTCGCCTTTAATCCCAGCAGAGGCAGGTGAATCTCAGCCAGTCTGGGTTACAGAGTCAGGGCCACAGAGAAACCCTGTCCAGAAAAACAAAACAACAAACTAAACTGGTAGAGAGGGTCTAAAAATGCCATATAAACATATGCACATGTCTAAATCAGAAATAGAACAAGCTTGGTCAAACCACAATGGTAACCAGTCTAAGCCTCAGTTCCATCATTTTAGATGCTTTTATAAAAGAGCTGCATAGGCACGAATGTAAGGACAGGTATTGTCAGTAAAAATGGCTTTTGTGAGAAAACAGATCTATTATCTGACCATCCATAACTACTATCATCAGACAGGCTTGATTTAAGAAAGGCACTGTCGAGTAACATATATTACAGAGAACTGGGTGTCAAGTTACGTGTGAATGGCCAAACTGAGAATCTGATCTACATTTTGTCACATAGCACTGAAAAGGTACAAATGGAAAAGATGAAAAGATTTTGGTTTAACTATGAGAAAAAAAATTAAGCAATTACAAGTTGCCATAAAGAACTTCTAATTATTAAAACAAAGTTCTCTAACAGCTCACCAGTATATTTAAAGAAGTCTGAAAATTCCAATAATTGTATGTAAGCTTTTAGAATTGTATTTAAGTCAAGAAAGACCAACACTATCTACCTGCCTAATCTATATATACATACATATTATATATATATAATATATAATTATATAATATATGTATATGTATATATATATGTATATTTTTCCTGTGCACACCAAATAAGCAGTAAGATGGATTGTTTGATGTTGATAAGGCATTTCTTTTAAATTAGGGTACAAGTTTTTCTTCAGTTTTGCATTCAGATTAGATACTTTGCTGACTTTGAAGCAATTCCCAATAGTTTTATGTCTTTTGAAATTTCTAAGATTTCTGATGTTCATCATTTTTATAATTAAGAGATCTTCCAACAATCTATAAGTTAAATCACTACAGCTATGTCTGTTGCATTTTTATTAGAGTCACTTTATTACAACAGTGAGATTAGCCAGCTTCATCCAGTTCTAAATGAAACCTCTTACAAGCACAGAATTATCTTAAGCGCTTACAAATTCACAAAAATCTCAAATGAAACTAAAATTATTAATTTTTCCAAAACATTTTAACCGGCAAATTCATAACTTAGTTATAAGCTACATGCTTAAGTATTTCTAAGCATTAGAATGGTTTACTTTGCTGTAGTTTTATTAAAAAAATTCAGAACATGATCATTACTTTATATTAAAACGGAATGGAATGGGTATAGTTACGGTTTAAGAGATGACTCATACACTTTAAGACACAGTTTAACAGACCACTCATACACCTCCAGGAATTTCTAGATGTGAAAGTTTTACAAACCAAGAGGCATTTGTTAAGGCTTGAGATTGGCTGAGATACAAACACTCATTTTCTGAACAAACATGTACATATTGAAATTTTACTACTTATGTGCAATATGTGTTCTAAGGGGAAAAAGACTAGAAACGTATATTAATATATGAAAAGAGACAAGCTGAAAAGGGTAATGTTATCCCAAAGACAATAAAACTACAACAGGTAAAAGTACAGTGACAGTAAACAGACCAGTGGCTTAGAGGGTAGGGACGAGTGGACAGACAGGATACAGAGGGGTATCAGGACAGCACTACAATAACGGACATGCACATTCACAGCTGTCTAATTCTGTGCATACACAAGAGCATGAGTGAGCAGCCATCTGACAAGCTGTGATCTGGGGGAGAGTGCTGTATCAGTACAGGCTCACCCACTGGAAGATGCTGATAATGGGGGAAGCTGCACAAGTGTGGGCTCAAGGAGTATATGGGAAATTCAACTTCCAGTTTAGCAGTGAAACCCAAAGCAGCTCTAAGCACATAGGTTTTGTTGTTGATTTTTAAAGGTCATTTTGCTTTTTCTTCTTAGTTAACTACTAGTATAAAATGAAACCTTTTCTGCTTCCCATTTTCAAGTGGTTTTATTTCAAAGAACAGCAATTCTTTAACAACATAATCGCCTGGTATTGATTACTGTGATGTATGTTTACGCCATGTATTTGTAATTATTAAACTGGTTATTTTTTAGTACTTACACACACACACACACACACACACACACACACACACACACACACACACACACACAAATAAAAAGGTTCTCTTGTACAAATTCAACACAGATTTAGTCTGTCCTAATAAGAACACATCCTCTCCAGTCCACAGAAGCCAGTCCTCCTGGGCAGGACAGCATTTCAAAAGACTCTGATGAATTCAAAGACTTTGATGCTTACCACCAGTCCACTAAAAAGACTTTATTTTAAAATCACTTAAGAATATGTATTTATGTAAGTGTTCATCCTTAGTTATGATTTATTATAGTTGAATTTGGAACAGATTGCCAGAGATGGTCTTGACAGAACCAATTCTCAGTCAATATTCAAGCTCACTGCAAAAGAAGGCAGGAAGGGAAGAGGGAAGGAAGATTAGATGAATACATTTTAAATATAAGTCAGAAACTGTAATGCTTATTTCAGATATTCTGGAGCTTCACACTGAATTAGAACTAATGTTTTAGTGAAAGAAAATAATCAGAAGTATTACATGATTTTTTTTAAAGAATATCTTAAAAACTTGCCTGAACTGAATATCAAAACCTTCCAATGTCAAAAATCTGTTGGTTCAACATTTAACAATGCAGTGGTTGCTCTTCAGTCAGTTCCAAAACCCAGACTATGCCTTCTGTTCAAATGTGTTGTTTTAATTCAAAAGAGAAAGGAAGAAAAGAATATGATCACTTAAAAGATCCAAATCCATTTTGGAAATAAATGGATAGGGGAGTAGAAGTTTCTAGCTAACAGTATATACTGAGTGACAACTAGCATTTCTGATAGACACCATTTTCTCTTCTAATAGAAATCAATCTGGGATTATTGGATCCAGAAGGAAAAGCATACAAATAGCACACATTGAGGTCTAGTTCTGTAGCTCAGTTGAAGAGTGCTTGTCTAGCATATATAAGGCCCTGGGTTTGAGTCCCAGCACTACATTAAAGCAGACTTGTTAGCACATGCCTGTAATCTGATACTCAGAAAATGGTACAGCTCAAGGTCATCTTGTTAAAGCAAGCCTGGACTACATGAGGCACTGTTTCAAAACAAAATATATATAAACTGAGAAGATCTAGTTGCAACTTCCCCACTAGTGGGAAGTCTGCATGGAGCAAGAAATGATTCTTTGTCCAAAGAAAGAAAAAGATAAAGATGTGAGCATAAACTGTCAGGATGGCATGTAAGATGTTCAAAAATTAAAATCTGAAATTGTTGCAATCCAAATTGTATATTTGGAGGTTATTTAAACCTATGTTTATTTTAGTAATATATTTAAGTGAATTTAAAAATACACTGAGAGGCTGGTTGTGGTGGCTCGTATCTGTAGTCTCAGCACTTAGGAGGCAGAGGCAGGCAGATCTCTGCTGAGTTCAGGGCCAGCTTTGTCTACAAAGCAAGTCCCAGGCCAGTCAGGGTTAAAAAGTGTGAACCTGTCTCTAAACAAAACAGTAACAAAAGAACAAAGCAAAGCCCAACATGCCAGGCTTTAAGAGCTGGCATGGACTGGGACCAGGTGAAGATCACAGTTAGGTTTATCAGTGAACAAATTTAGAAGAGGTAAGGAAACGAACCTGACAGTCTTTCCTTAATGGTCATTAAAAAGTAAGGGAGATGGAGCAGCGGTAGGGCTTTTTTTTTAAGGGGGGCAGGGAGGGGGGCTAGGAATCAAACACAGGGCCTTGCACAAGTGCCACAACTATATTTTAATAAAAAAGTATTATTCTAATAGCAAAGAACAATAGCATGCAATTCAACACTCAGTTTTAGGTGAATGCAAAATGTTCCTACTTCATAACACAGAGCCTGGTTTACCTTCATTTAGCTGGGTAGTCAACTTAAGAGATGCAACAAAGGAAAATAAGGAAAAAACCAACCACACAGCTTCAGGGAGTCAAACTTCTGGCAAAAGACTACATGTAATGTGTCGAGGTTTCAGAGAATCCCAGTGGAGTTCCAGACCATTTTGTTCTGTTCTGAGAATAATAGCAGTGTAAATATGGAGTCGAGTCATTGGAATTCAATTTTTCCATATCAGGAAATAGCAGCAGGCTGTTAACAGTTGACTGGAGACAGCTTTCTTGACTTTCTTTTTCTTGGAGATGCTGACGGTATTATCATCTTTAAATTCTTGCACAGTTTTTTCTGTTTCAGTATGCTAAAAGCAACAGTGTCCTCGATTGAAAAAGTCAGCAAAGCAGCTTAGAATCTACAAGGTGTAGCACAGGGTACCTCTTCTTCAAACTTCAACTTGAGTGCACACCTTTAAGTGCGGATGTAATGTGCCACAGAGCCACTATTACACAGTTGCTGGGTTATTTACACCTTGGCTAAGTAAAGCCTTTCTTGCGTAATGCTAACTAAGCACCCTGAAGACAGTAAGGCTGCTATTACTATTTGAAAACTGTGCAGGCAGGTGTTCCTAGAAGAAATCAAGGATCTAGGCTTTGGCTCCTTGATCTTTTTGGGTTTGTTTTTGAGAGAAAGGGAGTTGAGGGGAGAATGAAAATGTCAAACTAAGCTTAAGTTGAAGTGGTGAAGAGATAGGAATATTTTAAAGTTTGATGTTTATTTACTTTTTAGCTTACTAGGTAAAATACTGAATGTGGATATGGCCATCATCACACTGCCCCAACAATAAAGGACCAAAATTCTCACTAACAATCAAATGCTTAAAGAGTAGTACTAGGCTAGTGACCCACACATATTTAAATAGTTAATCCTATTTTACATGGATTTCACAGCAATGAAAACGAAAGGGTACTTTAAAAGCTTTATAAGTTATATGATGAAAGGGGGTTTCTGGGGTAATGCTTTTTGGATTTACCAGCACAATGTCGTATCTGAGGACTAAGAAGAAGCGGGTGTGGAAACACTGTTCTAAAGCCAGTTTGGAGCTTCCGGGAGTCTTTAGACTCATCTGGACAGTATGAAAAGGGCTACCAGTGAAATCAACTGCCTACGAAGTGTGGTCAAGACGAAGCTAAGAAGAGTGGACTGACTGGCTTGTTAAGGTCAACGTCTTATGCCATTTTACAGGACCTTGGGGCACTTTAGTCAATTCTTCAAACAGCTAAAATTGCTTAGGCTAACCTCAGTTCTTCTAGGCACCTAAAAGGCAGAAAGTAGATACCATCCCCACCCCATGACTAGCAATGTAAAATGGTGTAATGGTTAGTTTTGTCAGTTTGAGAAAATTTACAATCAGCCAGGGAGGAGAGTCTCAATGAAAATATGTTTGGATCAGTTTGGCCATTGGAGACACATCTATGGAGGATGTGGGAAGACCCTGCCTGAAAGTGGGTAGCACCATTCCCTGAGTTTGTGTACTGGGGTGTGTGAAACTGGAGAAAGCTAGCTGGGCATACTAATTATTCCTTCCCCTCTGCTTCTTGACTGTGATGAAATGCTGATGGCTATCACAAGCTCCTGCATTGTAACTCTTATAAATGATGGGCTTTAACTTGGAACTGTAAGCAAAAGTAAACCCTTTTTCCTAAGTTTCTTCTGTCAAGGTATTTTATCACAGCAACAGAAATGAAACTAAGTGGTGGTAACATTAATTATCCTAGAAGCAAACCACAAACTAGTAAAGAGGTCCAAGAACGGTGGTTTCTCAATCAACATGTTTCACAAATGTATGTGTCACTGCTGACCTCTCATTCAACATATATGGAAGCAAATCTAGTTAACTTAAAAAATACTCATGTGCCAGGAAACTAAGGCTGCTTCCAGTACTAATTAGATGAACACACACACACACACACACACACACACACACACACACCTTCAATCCTGATCTACTATACTTCAGTAACTTTTTGTAAAGATTACCAACCTAAGTATACAAAATATAAGGACCAAAAGTATATTAGCCTCCAAATTTGTAGATTTGTTCATACAATATAATCTCACTGGAGGAAAATTACCAAAATATTTTTGTCTTCTACAGTGAGATTGTTACGTTTTCTCTACTCCACAGATGTGCTCTTAACTTACTATAAAGCACAATAACCTAATCCAATTGTATGAAGTATTTTGCCTATGCTGGGACTTCCTAGTTTGCTTCTGAATTGGGAGACTGGTTTAACAATGGGCTCTTTAACAGACTCACCATGTCCCCCACATCTACCCCACCCTCATTCTTTCTGATCCCTATATTACAATCACTCCTTTGCACAGAGCTTCCTCAAGCCTGGCTCCTCTCACCCAGGGCTTTTTCTAGCCCCCCTCCTCAGTACTCCCTTTCATGTTCTCCTATCATTCTTTCAGAAGTTTGCCTTTGGATCATTTCAACTCACAGGAAACCGGACTTGGGATTCTACAGGTAACACCATGCTCTCTACAATTCAGATTGACTTCATACTCTCAAAAAAAGACTATAAGAAAATAGAGACGAGACGATACAGGGGCTACAAAAGCTAGATATCCTTTATGCTGGCCTGGCCCTGTCACCTGGCAGAATGCTCTCAGGCAGTACTCTGGTCAGCCCAGGGTTCCATGGGAACTAGTTTGCAAGCAGGTGCAAAGGACCCCTTTAAAAGACAGACCCCTGCCCACTTATGCTCTTTCAGGCTCTTCTCTCTCTCTGCTCTCGTCTTTCTACTCTTACACAGCTCTCTTCCCATTTTCTTTCCACTCTCTTTCCTGTTCCCATGGGGCAGACAGGACTTTTCCAGAAGACTCCCTCTTCTCTTCTGTCCTCTCTCTGTCTCTTTATCTCTTTTCTCTTTCCTTCCCCCTCCCTCTCCTTTCTAATAAAACTTCTCATTTAAGTTGTGTCTGCCTGGCGTGTTTGTCCCCTGCCTCGGTCACCCTCGACCACCATGGAATCCGCCATGGTCCCCACCCAAGGTCCCCTCCCAGCTTTATCCTAACATCCTTCCAATCGTGTAATCCACTGTTCTTCTCATCCATCTCTGCTTCTCATCCATCACTTAGCACTGAGGTCATCACATTCACCACGACTCTGTTATCTGTCATCCACTGACCACTATCCTGTTCTTTGTCCCCTTCCACATCCCTGTCACCAGAGGGTTACAGAAAATGCCTTGCTGGCCTCTTCTTGACTATAAGATTATGTAGTCCTGACTGTCCTGGAATTTGCTATGTGCATCAGACTGGCCTTGAACTCAAAGAGATCCACCTGCCTCTGTGCTGGATGTGGCTCCACACCCAGCAAAATTGGATATTTTGATGTTATAATTTTGAATTTATTTGTTTTCATCCTCTTCCCCTTCTAATCAGTTTCCGGACTGTTTGCTTTTTCCACACCTGAACTTCATTTTGAACCGAGGATCATTTAAAAAGCACATATACTGGAAACTATGTGAAAAATTCTAAGCATAATCCAATCATTAATATATCCCAAATCTCTAGAGAAAACCTCATCTTGTGAACTTTTTTCTCAGCTGAGTATCATGGGGCAGACTTGTAAACCCAGCACTCTGTCCTAGAGGACAGGGAAGTTGAGGACAGCCTGGGATATATCATTATGACCCTGTCTTTTAGAAAATGGAGATGGGGAGAGGGGTTGAAGATGTAGCTCTCAGTTGGTGAAGCATGAAACCTAAGGTTCAATGTTCAGCACTACACAAAACTGGGATGGTGACACGTGTCTATAATCCCAGCACTCAGAACTCAGGGGATGGATGCAGAAGGATCAGTTCAGCACTATAGTGAGTTTGAGGCCAACTGGAATAATAATAATCTTATAGTCAAGGAGAGGCTGGCATAGCATTTTCTGTTAACCTATACTGTGAGTGATGTGGAAGGAGACTCTCTTACTTTTGGATTTCACACAAAAGAAGAGGGTCATGTTCAATGAAGGACAAACCATGAGATGCTGTTTTTTTGTTTTTGTTTGTCATATTCGGAGACCCACACCCAAGCATTAAGTGGAGCTTGGGGAATCCTGCAGAAGAGGAGGAAGAAGCATTGTAGTAGCCAGAGGGATCAAGGGCACCAGGAGAACATGGCCACACAATCAACTAAGCAGGGCTCATAGGTGCTCACAGACACTGAAGCGGCAATCACAGATCCTGCATGGGTCTGAACTAGGTCCTCTGCACACATGTTATGGTTGTTTAGCTTTGGATGTTTGTGGAACTTCTAACAGTGGGAGTGGGGGTGTCTTTGACGACTCTTCTGCCTGCTCTTGGGACCCTTTTCTTCCTAGTGAGTTCCTTGCCCAGTCTTGATATGAGGGGTTTGTGCCTAGTCTGATTGCATCTTGTTATGCCATATTCAGATGATATCACTGGGAGGCCTGCTCTTTTCTGAAGGGAAGTGGAGGAGCAGTGGTTCTGGGGAGGGGGTGGGGTTGGAGGATTAGAGGGTGGGAGACTTCAAGTGATTGGGATGTTTAGTTTGAGAGAAGAATAAATTAAAATTTAAAAAAATCTAGCTCCCATTTTGAACAATTTTTTGCAATTTTGGTTTTAAAAGGACACTAGAGACCTAGTCAAACCTAGTCTAGATCAAGCCATCTTTTTGCAGTGGCCAACAATGGCATCCTATAATTGGGTTCTAATTTGTCCTAATTGCAATGAAATGCCTTACCAAATTAAGCATCTTAAAATGCTACAATACTGTTACATCATGCCCAAACTCTACAGCACCTACCCCACCATACTGAGACTAAGTTTTTCTTCCTCACTTTCCTGGCATTAGCTTACTTGGACCCATATACCTCAATCATGTCTATTTCCTGGTCCTTCTTTCTGGTTGGTGGTTCAGTCTTTCTCCTTTACTGTACCAACTTTCCTTTTTAATTTAAATGTAAGTCTTCTTCCAAACTAACAACATCCCACTTTTTATAAAACCCTTTACCTTAACATCTCATTTTCAAACTCCTGTTGCTTTGCTTTGAAATTGGCAAAATGTCTGATCTGCTTGCTAAGCGTGTTGGTGTAAATATCTGCATCCACTACAGCCACTTACCCAACCTGAGGAGGCACAAAGTGAGTATTCATTCAGCAAGGGAGAGAGACAGTATGAAGAGCAGATGTACTGGCTTACCACCAAATAGCTGGTTTTGCCTATTTCATAAAATATAGATTATTTCTTTTCATCAGAAAGAAAAGGCTACTATGTTTTCATCTCTTAAGCCAATTAAACAGATTTGAGAAAACTTCATGATCAAAAAAAAAAAAAAAAAAAACCAAGAAAAAGAAAAAACCTAAAACCTTCTAAATCAACACAAGAAAGCCCTACCCCCATAGTTATGTTCAATTTTGTGAGACTTCAAATGATCCTACAATTCTTTTCTTCTCTCTGGGCTTTTTGCAGCAATTCATCTCTGGGTGTAACTCCCTATAAACCTGTGTCAAAGCAGAACAAAGTTCCAGCAATTTTGAAGGTACTTGGAATACCATCAAATAAATTTTATCAGTACAAGTATGCACAGGCAAAATGCATCAAAGTTACTTACTTCAAAGAAACATACAATTATATTATATGATTCAATTTGCAGGATGCTGAGACATGAGCATACACATGTATAAAATAGAATGATGAATATGTTTTTTCTATGTTTTTAACCTCCCTCCAAATCAGTACACATCGTAGAACTGAGATATCAGTATTTAACAGCCTTTGCTGCCACTGTCAGAACAGTTACTGAGATGACTAATAGAATGAGCCTGCGTTGCTGTGACTGTTGTGATAAGAGTATCAAAAGGCTGACCTGATGAAAATAATTTGAAATAAATCTGCCACTAGATTGGTGTCTGTATGTTTTATTCAACTCTGTATCCCTCAGGATACAGAGATCCTAGATCAGGTCACTTTACAGAACAACAACAACAAAAATAGTAATTAATGCTTTGCTAAAATAAAAGGGAGAATATACCAAATACTGCCTGAAAAATACAAAATGTAGAATGAAAAGAAAATCATTATTAATTAAAATATTTTCTACTGGAATCTTTGAGAAAATAAAAAAACACTTCATATCCCAGAGCTAAAAGTCCACTGGGACAGGACTCTGTTTCCTTCAGGGGCTAAAGGCTTTTGAAGGCGGTCATTTCTTGGTCATTTGAAACTGTTTGGAAAGGGAGAATACCACCAAACTCTTTATCAATCTAGTAACTATGGATCTTCCTCAGAAAAACAGCAAGCATATGTTCATGCACACAAACACACCATTTCACATTTACCTTGCAAGAGTTTGGGACTCCAGGTTAAAACCCCTGTGTTAAGGAAAAGACTAATTGCTTTATAATGGTCAAAGAAGTGAAGTTAATAGTATCCCAGTGTAAAATTCATCAGACAAGACAGAACTGACAAACCCAAAGCTTCTTAGAATTCCTCACTCTGCCCACCATTTTGGTTAAATTTACCCACCACATGAAATGGTACTTTTATTATGTACCACATAATTTCTTCCATGCTTTAGTGTGAATTATGACTTCAAAGACTTCTAAAAAAACATATTAAACAAAATGTGAGGCTTTACAAGGTCTAGAAATTATAAAAAACAAACCAAAAATCTTAAAAGTAAGTTTTAAACCATCCTACATAAGTTGTAATGCTGAGTTCTAATTGCCAAAGAAGCATTTTCTGAATTCATAGTTATGTCGGAAGTAAAGGGGTAAGAGAGCAGGCAGGGAGGAGACTATGGGCAAACTGGGAAAACTTTGGACAAATTCTCTGCACAAACTATGAATGAAAAAGAATAGAGAAAGATAAGGAAAGCAGCCTGGTACAGCAGCACTCTTCAAAACACAAAGAAGTGAGTAAGCAGAGCCAATCACCCCCTAAGGCCTTGTAAGAAACTGGAAGCCAATGAAAGGGTCACTTCAAAGTTGGAGGATCTAGTGAGCACCACTGCAATAGCCAGATTATCAGTAACAAGAGCCCCGAAGCTGAAACCCCACAGAACACACAGCAAAATCTTCATCTTTGAGAGTCAAATGAAAACCATAATTGAATTAAGGTATGATTAAAGGCTTATGTTTAATAAGTATACAGTATTGTGATGGTGTTTTCTAAGACAGTTTGCTTTCTCATTATGTTGCTATAAATTTACTTTTAAATGCAAACTAGAGATTGGCATTTATGCTGAACTGTAAAAACACAAATTAGATAGATAATTGGTCAATTCTATGATCTCAACCAAAAAAAAAGAAAGAAAAGAAACAAGAATAAATTTTCACTTTACTCCACTATACCTCAGGATGAAGCCATTTATTTTGTTGTATGTAACAGGAAGTCACCATATTTTATATTGAAAGGTAACCCAGAAAATGCCAATGCTATATAACATGAGCAACATCTTCAAATAAGATGTTTTATTGTTAATATTATGTTAAATTTTTAGATTTAACATAATATTTATATGTCTTTTGGTATTCACAATACCCTTTTCATATTGTTTTTAACAAATTAAGGCATACTTCTTAAACTTTTTTTTTTAATCTCAAGAGGTCTGGCTTTCTTTTCTCCCCAGATGCTTTTATGGTGGTATTTTTTAAATCAGCTTTCGTCCACTTCTCAGAACTAAGTTCAGTTTATTTTTTATTATCATGAGACTATTCAAGAAGTTTTGCAT